CCAGAGAATGATCCCTTCTGACTACATGACCAAAGTAAGTGAGATGAACTCCTACCATTCTTGCTTCTAAGGAGTACTCCAGCTGCACTTCTTCCAGGATAGATTTGTTTGTTCTTCTGGTAATCCATGTATTTTCAGTATTCTTCGCCAACACCACAATTCACAGGCAGCAATTCTTCTTTGGTCTTCCTTAATTATTATCCAGCTTTCACATGCATATGAGGCAAGTGAAAATACCATGGCTTGGATTAGGCACACCTTAATCTTCAAAGTGACATCTTTGTTCTTCAACACTTTCAAGAGGTCTTTTGCAGCAGATTTTCCCAGTGCAACAAGACATCTGATTTCCTGACTACTTCTTCTATTGGTATTGATTGTGGATCCAAGTAAAATTAAATCTTTGACAACTTCAATTTTTCTCCATTTATCATGTTGCTTACTGGTCCAGTTGTAAGGATTTCCGTTTGCTTAATGTTGAGGTGTAATCCACACACTGCATGCAGACTGTAGTCTTTAATTTTCATAAGTAAGTGCTTTAAGTCATCTTCACTTTCAGCAAACAAAGTTGTGTCGTCTGCATATCACAGGTTATTAATGAGTCTTCCTCCAATCCTGACGCCATGTTCTTCTTCATTTGGTTCTTGGATTATGTGATCAGCAATACAAACTGAATAAATATGGAGAAAGGATATAACCCTGACACACACCATTCCTGGTTTTAAACCATGCAATAGCCCCTTGTTCTATTGGAACAACAGACTCTGGCCTACATACAGGCTCCTTGTGAGCCCAATTAAGTGTTCTAGAATTCCCGTTCTTCTCAATGCTATCCATACTTTGTTATGATCCACACAATCAAATGCTTTTGCATAGTCAATGAAACACAAGTAAACATCTTTCTGATATTCTTGCTTTTAGGCAAGATCCATCTAACATCAGCAATGATATCCTTCATTCCATGTCCTCTTTTCAGTCCAGCTTGCATTACTGAAAGTTCCGTCAATATACTGCTGGAAGCATTTTTGAGTTATCTTCAGCAAAATTTTACTTGTGTTGATCTTAATGATTTAAAAAAAACCAAAAAACCTCACTGCTATTGTGTTGACTCTGACTCATAGTGACCCCTATTTGGATTACCAAGGTGCTATCTCTACAGAAGTATTTTGCCCAGTCTTCCTCCCAAGGAGTGGCTGGTGGGTTTGAACTGCCAGCCTTCTGGTTAGCAGTCAAATGCCTTTGGCACCATACCACCAGAGCTCCCAATATTAATGACACTGTTCGACAATTTCCACATTCTGTTCTCTTCCAGTATATTGGCCAGGTAGCTATTTTCCAAATTTCCTGGCATAGATAAGTAAGCACCTCCAGAGCTGCAGCCATTTGTTGAAACATCTCAATGCAGTTCCGTCAATTACTACAGATTTTTTTTTTTTTTTTTTTTTTTGCCCATTCCCTCAGCGCAGCTTGGACTTCTTCCTTCACCTGGTTCTTGATCATATGCTACCCTCATGAAATGACTGAATGTCGACCAATTCTTTTTAGCACAGTGACTCTGTATATTCCTTCCATCTTCTTGTGATGTTTCCTGCATCATTCAATAATTTGCCCCCTGAATCCTTCAATGTTGCAACTCCAGGCTTGAATATTTTTTTCAGTTCTTTCAACTTAAGAGATGCTGAGTGTGTTCTCTGCTTTTGGTTTTCTAACCCCAGGTTTTTGCACATTTCATTATAATAATTTACTTTGTCTTCTCCTGCCACCCTCTGAGATCATCTGGTCAGATCTTTTGTTTCAACATTTTTTCCTTTCACTTTAGCTACTCTTTGGTTCAAGAGCAAGTTTCAGAGTCTCTTCTGATATCCATTTTGATCTGTTCTTCCTTTCCTGTCTTTTTAATGACCTTTTACTTTCTTCATGTATGATTTCTTGATGTCATCCTGTATCTCATCTAGTTTTCAGTCACCAGAATTAAATGCATCAAATATATTCTTCAGATAGTCTCTAAATTCAGGTGAGCTATACGCAAGGTTATATTTTGGCTCTCGTGAATTTGTTTAATTTTCTTTAGCTTCAACCTAAACTAGCATATGAGCAATTGATAGTCTGTTTCACAATCAACCCCTGGCCCTGTTCTGACTGAAGTTACTGAGCTTCTCCAATGTCTCTTTCCACAAATGTAGTCAATTATATTTCTGTGTATTCCATCTGGCAAGGTCCACATGTACAGTCACCATTTATGTTGTTGAAAAAAAGGTATTTGCAATAAGTAAGTCTTTGGTCTTGCAAAATCCCATCATGCAATCTCCAGCATCGTTTCTATCACCAAGGCCATATTTTCCAACTACCAATGTTTCTTTCTTTCCAACTTTTGCATTCCAATCACCAGCAATAATAAATACATCTTGATCACATGTTTGGTCAATTTCAGACAGCAGAAGTTGATACAAATTTTAAATTTCTTCATGTTTTACTTTGGTGGTTGGTGTGTAAATCTGAATAACAGTCATATTAACTGGTCTTCCTTGTTGGTATATGGATATTATCCTATCACTGACAGCATTGCACTTCAGGATAGATCTTGCAATATTCTTTTTGATGATGAAAGTGATACCATTCAGACAGAGGAGTGATGGGATAAAGTCTACATTTTGTATTTATAGGTATCTCATCTACTTCTCAAAGAACTGGCCAGTGAAAACCTTATGAACAGCAGTGAAACACTGTCTGATAAATTACTGGAAAACTTTATGAATAGCTGTGAAACACTGTCTGCTGCAAAAGACTTCTTTCAAGTGATGAAGAGCAAAGATGTCTCCTTGAAGACTAAAGTGCGTCTAACCCAAGCCATGGTATTTTCAATCACCTCATATGCATGTGAGAGCTAAGACAAGGAAGCTGAATAAGGAAGAATGAAGAATTGATGCTTTTGAGTTGTGATGTTGGAGAAGAATGCTAAGAGTACCATGGGCTGCTAAAAAGAACAAATCTGTCCTGGAAGAAGTACAATGAGAATGCTCCTTGGAAGTGAGAATGGCCAGACCTCGTCTGACCTACTTTGGTCATATTGTCATAAGTGACCATTTTTTGGAGAAGGGTAGCCTCTTTGGTAAAATGGAGGGTCAATGAAAAAGGGAAAGGCCTTCAACAAGACGGATTGATACAGTGGCTACAAAGACAGACTCAGGTATAGCAAGGATCATGAGGCTGGCAAGGACCAGGTAGTGTTTTGTTCCGTTGTACATAAGGTCGCTGTGAGTCGGAAACGACTTGACAGCACCTAACCAACAACAGGTATCTATCTCTCTGCACTAAAGCATTCAGTATCTAACCCACCCGCCACTCCATTGGTTGGTTTTGGTATCTTCTTGCAGTCAAAACCATACCAAAAGGTACAGTTTTTTGTTTTTTTTTTTTAATGTAAACACATTTGCCAAAATTTATTTGCTTGTTCAAATGTTTCATTCTAAACTATAGATTCCAATTAACTATATCATGTATGGTTTTGATGAGATGGACTTTTTTGTGCATTGTTTTAAATAACTGTATTTGAAATTTTAAAATCCTGTCAACCAAGAAAAACACATTTCTAAGGTTTCAAAGACTTAGTTTTGAACACATTATGTCAATTCAGAAACTAAGTGTAGTCTTAAAATTATTTTAAGTATTTCAACAATAGCTTGCAGTCTAAAGATTATTTTTGTATTTTTATTGTGATTTGGGTACAAGTTTATAGAGCAAATTCATTTTCCACACAGCAGTTCACATACACTTTTTCTCTTGACATTGACTCCAATTTCCTACAATGCAACAGCTGTCTTCCCACTCTTTCCCATAGTTACCTATTCCCTGTTCTTCACTCCCATGCACTCCTGCTCCCTAGCTGTCTCCCTGTGTATACACAGCCCTTATATTCTCCCATGACTGATCTCTCCAAGGAGTGTATCTACTTAATGTAAATGTTCAGCTCTTATGCCTGTCTTTTGTTTGGCTGGAAGCCACAGGAATGGGTTCAATTCCAGACCTGAAGGGCAGCTAGGGGCCATAGTCTCAGGGGTTCCATCAGGCTCTATCAGACCAGCAAACCTGGTCCCTTTTTTCTTTGTGATTTTTGAGTTTTGTTCCACATTGTTCTCCCATTCTATCCAGGATCTCCCACGTAGGTTCCCTTCTAAGTAGAAGACAGTGGTAGCCAGGCACCATCTAGTTCTTCTGGTCTCATAGTCATATAGGCTGAGGATCACATGTGTACCAGTCCCTTGGACTAATTGTTTCCATGTGTCTTTGGTTTTCTTCATTCTTCTTTGCTCTGGACAAGGAAAGACCCATTACTGGATCTAGATGGCTGCTTGCAACCTTTAAAGTTTCCAGTTGCTACTCACCAAAGTAGGATGTGGAACAGTGTTTTGCCTAAGGCACCTGACTGCTAACCAGAAGGCTGGCAGTTCAAATCCACCAGCCACTCCTCGGGAGGAAGATGGGGTAATCTACTTCCGTAGTGATACTGTCTTGGAAACCCAAGGAGGGATCGCTATGAGTCGGGTCCAACTCGACATCACATAACAACAACAACATGCCAGTTGAGCTTGATGTCCCCTGCAACCATAGGTCCCAAGTCCACAGTTCCAACTACTTGCTCCCTCCAGTACACTGACTATGGCCAAGAAGTGACTACAATCTTGTCCTTTGTCAGATCTACTATATACTGGACATTCTTATAGAACATACAAATATACTTGTAGAAACACTGTCTGCCAACCTTATACATGGTCATGGGCACATTTCCCCCTGCATAGACATACCTGATGGTTCAGCCTGTCCACCCATCTATCCACCCGTAGATCAATGTTTGCCATCACTGACAACACAGAACTGTATGTACAAAAGGGTTCACTTTTGTTGTCTGTACCTCCCAGGCACATCTCTATGTCTTCCACTTCCTCAATGCCACTATGTTGAACATGAGGATGAGTAAAACTTTTTCATGATATTTAACAACTTACTTCAAAATTAAGGTCCCTGATCAAGATATCTCCATTTGGCGTTGCTAAAGGAACATGATCAAACCTACAGAGAAATTAACAAAAAGAAAATGCTTGACATTAAACACTATGCAAATATATGCTGAAAGAGAAAGGCTAAAATAAAATTAGACAAATGTTTAATTCTTATGTTAAAAGTGCTAAAGAACTTTTTCTGCACATACTTTATAATGTTATCTGCAATGATGATTTCTCCAGCACCAGGTATCAAGGGAATGACTTGTGGTTCTTCAATACCTTAAATGAAAAGTAAGTATTAAAGCCTCATATTATGCCAATGAAAACTTAAAACTGTGGCCTAATACATTCATATTTACCCCTTTCCTGTTGTGAGACCATTGTACGTTCATATTTCCCATGATTTAAATCTTTTAACACTTGCATTAATTCTGTAATCCGAGCAGTAAAACTAAAAATTTAAAAAAAGAAACCACAATCAAAATTCTGAAGACTGTCATATCTTTAATGTCATACAAATCTAACTGAAGTTTCTAAACTAATATTTTAGTTTAAATGAAATAACCTAATGTAAACTCATAAACAAAGTAGCAATGATAGTATGTACATGTTTCAGTAGAGGAGCAGGAGTATGGGGATAATGGAATAAATTTCACAGGATTTCTACCTAACATATAGTTCATTTTAGTCATGTCAGATTGCTTGCTGCCAGAATTTTAGGAAGTTTCCAATGGATACTACTAAAGTACTAGTGCATTCCTCAGACCCATGAAGTATTAGACCCTGAGTTGCTGTTGGAATCATCTATAGGCCATGTATATCTCCGGTGGCACAGTGCCTAAGGCATTTGACTGCTAACCAGAAGGCTGGTGGTTCAAACCCACCAGCCACTCCTGGGAAGAAACACTGGGCGCCTCACAAACCCAAGGAGGGGTCGTTATGCATCGAATCCCACTCAACGGCAGTGAGTTTGAGTTTTAGTGTAAGGAAGTAATTTATTATGTGTATGCCAAATGCATGTTGCCTTCCTGCAAACGTAAGAATTCTTGGTCTGAATTGGGAAAAAGATGAAGAAGAATTCATAATATTAGATGGAATTCAATGTGACAATAGGAAGAAATCAAAACTAATGTCAAAAGGTTGGTAAGTTTAAGAATGACAGGATGGTCAAAGGGAAGGCAATCTGCATCAAAGAAGAAAACAGGATTTTTTTTGTGAATAACAAGGAGAAACCTTCTGAAGAAACAAACACTATGAATGCCATTAGCTGTAAAGGCATTAGCAACAGTAATAACAGCAGGTAGGAAGAATATTATCAGCTTCTCAAGAGAAGGAGATTGCTCACGGTAATTTACCACTTCCTCTATCTTATCTTACCAGGAAGACCTTTAATGTGGAAAAGAAAGGAGGAGGAATAAAGAAGTAAGAGAAAATATAAAGAAGACTCTTAGATTTCGGAGATAGCCTAAGTTACCAAATTTCTTCAGGTTAACAAAGCACCTGAATGAAATTTATGCTTTTTACATCAGGTGTTTTTTCATATACCACACTCTTTGTAATAGAGCTTGAAATACTGAAATATTTAATTCCATTTTATGGTCTAAGAACAATTTTACTATGAGACAATATGACCACAGAAGAGCTAAGAAAAAAATTTATGATGGGGGAAGAAAGTTTAAATGAGAAAATTCTACTCATTAAGTTAATTTACTATGAATTAAGAGAAGATTGTCATGACTCAACATTTCCTAACGAATCAAATACCAGTGTCCATGGAACAAACAGCTTGAGAACCACTAATCTCGTTTAAGGCATGAAACAGCTATCTATAGAAAAAATGAAAAGTTCACCAAACAAAAACTGTCCTTAATTTTCCATGAAAACTAGCTTCCTGGAGTAGGAAATGGGGCTTCACTTGCCCCGTTATCTTAACCTCAAATGGGCACCATCATTAAAGATAACATGTAAAAAACTATTCTTTATAATTACTCATCATTACTTATCTTACCCAGCCAATCTAGTCATTTCACGACCAGCCAAAACTATTCGACCCAGAGCTTGAGACATTCGCAAAAGCATTCTTCCACTTTGGTAATAATCCTTAACAGAAAGAAATATTAGTTCTCAGTTACATTTCTAAGACTTAAAACGATGTACTTTCTTTTTTAAAAAAATTTACTAATTATCCTTATTACTAATATTTTATGGAGTTCTGGTGGCACAGTGCCTAAGGCATTTGACTGCTAACCAGAAGGCTGGCAGTTCAAACCCACCAGCCACTTCACAGAATGAAGGTGGGGTAAACGACTTCTGTAACAATTTACCGCCTTGGAAACTCCATGGGGATTGCTATGAGTTGGAATCGACTTAGTGGCAGTGTATAGTAGCAATGTACTATATTTCTTTATTTTAAAATTTTCATTTAGTAATTACCATTATTAGTATTTTACCTCTAGAAGTTCTGAATGTGTACTCTTGAGATGTCGAGGATGAGATAAATCTAGGAAAGGACGACTGACAACTAGGTAACCAACTACAGTGGCAAGGTCTGAAACAAAACAGTTAAGATTCACAATGTTAACAATATTTTATTTTTTCCACAAACTTCATCCCATCATCTCTTTTAAAACATACTTACATTTGGCAATAATGCTATCAATGAAGCCCATAGAGAACCGAAACAAGATGAAATTATGTAGGTGCTCCACCTGGTAGAAAGCAACAACAAAATAACATATATAGATATAAAACAAATTACCACCAGGACAAAAGAAATTACACAATGCATTTATTCAAGACTATTTACTGAGTGCCTACAATTTCTGAATATACTGTGTATTACACTTCATTGAGCACATTACTGAGCAGATGCCAAACACTTTAAGACTTGGTAAAAACTGCTTTTATGCAGAGTAAAAATTACATGAAGAATTTTAATAATAATGTGATGTCCCTTGTATGCAGCAGTACAATGCTACAGTATTCACAATACTGTCAGAGACCTAATCCCAAAACTGGTCAACAACCAAAGAAGAATGGAGGGATGAGTGAACTGGGTGAAGCACTAGCTCTGGATTGGCACTCAATGCATCCAGTTTGCATTTTGTCTAAGAATTAAATTATGCTCATTCTGAATTAAATGTCAGTGTCAATCAATACAGAACAGCCAAAATCTGAAACTTTAATGTGAGCTCAGCATCTTAAAAAAAAAAAGTTTAAAAATATGTCTTATTCTGCATTTCATTAATGCCTTTCAATACAGTCTTTCATTTCTAGATGTACACAGGATGGGAAAGATCTGATACATGGGCATGTCTTAAATGGGTAACTGAATTATAAACATTTTTCATTATTGTAAAGTGTAACAGGGACCTTCTGCATACCTGTTTAGAACCAAAACCACCATGACACCATTTTTATAGTGTCTGTATATTTGTGATACAATGGTCTTATAAAGGTTTTTACTGAAAACTACCATTAGCCAGTCTTTCTTACTGACAATAAATGATTAATAAAATAAAAAAAAAAAATCTATGTCTTATTCTGGATTTTTAGTGTTTTCAAATTTTCCACCAGATTATTCAAGGCCACCCATGATTTAAGAATGGACTCTATCTTCAACATCATCTCTTTCTACTGTGCTCCTTCTCACAGAGTTACAGAAACACTGCTCTTCAAGCAAGTTCCTGCTTTAAGCTTTCCTCTTATTGCCTCTGCCAGAAATATTTCCTTCCTAGATAGTTAAATTTTGTAACCACTCCCTCATGTCATAAAGATTTCTGATAAACATGTCATCTCCTCAAGAAAGGCCTCCTTGGTCATCCTATACAAAACAGCAAACCCTATCATATTCTGTCTCTTTTTTCTGTTCAATTTTTGGTTACAGAATTTATTACTACCTGCAGTTATATAAATAAAATATTCAGCTATTTACATATTACTGTCTCTTCCACTAAAACATGGGGTTTCTGAGTACCAGGAAGCCTGTTCTTTGCTGCATCTAGAACAATACCTGGAATATTTATTCAGTATCATGAGTACAATAAATACAATGAATATCATGAATACCATGAGGCACTGGGCTCATGTCAGAGATACAACAATAAATAGAACAGAAAAGGTCCCTGGGTTCACAGAGCTTACATTGTAAAGAAAGAAGCTAACAAGTAAAAAAACAAGATAATTATAGAGTGCAATATATGATTTTATGGAAGTTTGATTAACAGAGAGTTACTGGCAGAGGCCCTTTCACATAAGAAGGCAAGGCCTCAAAGAGGTGTTAACATTTGAGTTGAAACCTAAAGGATGAGAATAAACAAGCCAACAGTATACAGCACTGTTCTGGAAAATTATCTTAAATGCACTCATCAGTGAGCACAGTTTAAAAATTACAAAGTTCAGTTATGTTAACTATTATTAAGGCAAAAATCAAGTCCTGAAATAATTTAAAATGACATGTTTAAAATTTTTTTTATCATCTAAAATCTGTAATTTCAAAAATGTTCACTACAATATAAGCTTCCTGAAGGCAGAATTTTGTCGGTCTTTTTTATCACCTATCACTCGTGCCTAAAAGGACTGGCACCTAGCTGGCCCTCAGTATCTTCTGACTGATAATAAATAAAATTACTTGGATTAAAATTTTCTGTGTGGGAAGTAAATAAACAATGATGTATAATTTTCACAATAAATTATTTTTATATTCTAAATCAGGGATCAGCAAACAATGGTGCACAGTCTAAATACAGCCTACTACTATTTTTATAAATGAAATTTTATTAGAACATAGCCATGCCCATTCATTCACATATGTCTATGGCTACATTTATATGACAGAATTAAATTAAATACTTGCACCATCTAAGACTAAAGAAAAAGTTTGCCAACCTGTGCTCTAAATAATAACCTTCATTGTATTATCACAAATGCTAAAAGAGCAAATTCTTTCTGTGGGAATCACTAGACTTAAAACTAAATAAAACTTTTATGCAAACTCTAAAAACACACTGATGATAGAATGTAATCGATGTGTGGTAGTTCAGTTTGTGTGTCAACCTGGCTGGGCCTGGTTGAGTGGCTGGGCAGCTGAATGTAGCATTCCCCATGATGAGGTTGGTAATCAACTCCATGGTGGAATCTACTGGGAGCAGCTGAGTAGCTGCCTTAGGGAATGTGGTGTGCTTCCTGAATATAAGCAGAAGCCTTAGGGAATGATCTCTAACTTTTGGCACGCTTGGACCCTGCATATAGCTATGTCGTTGTTCAGCAGCCTGCCATGCTCTGCCGACCTTGGGACTTACAATGGACTTCAACTAATGGCCTGCTGTGTGGTTTGGTAACATTGGAACTGTGCCATTTTATTTGTTGACCTTGGGCTTGTTAGCCTCAGCAACCAGTAAGCTGCCTGAGTGAAGAGATGCCTCTAGCTTCAGTGGGCCGGGAGCAAGAGGCAGAGCTGAAGTCCAATGTCGAGGGGCTTTCACACAGCTGCCAGAGCCTGGCACTTTGAACTTGGACTTAAAGCCTCCCAATTGTAAGAATAAACTCCTGTCTGTTAAAGCCATGCCATTTGTGGTATATTCTTGTCAGAGCAGTACTAGGTAACCAAAATAGATGTCACTAAACTGTACACGTAGAAACTATTGAATTTGTTTATGTTTCGCTGTATATTTTCTCAACAAAATAAATAAAAATATATGGAAGATTATTTTAATGAATCTACCTATTTATTATAATTGGATACCTTAATATATTGCTACAATAGTTTCCAATCTATTTATTTTTATTAAAAATACAGTATAAAACTCCTTTACAACTATGTAAAAATAAGCATCTTAAAGACATGTATCTCTATATCATGCCATATTTTATAAAGACTTTCCATGAGTCTCGAGTATTTTTATCTTACCAGTTTTCGGAAGACTGAGTGGATTGTCTGTTTTTCTCTTTTATTCCCATTGTAAAAGGCAATTTCTTCACTATTAAAGAAAATAATTCAGCAATTAATTTTCATATTACCTAAGCTTGAAAAAATAATTGTAATACAGTATTTGATGACTGAATGTCTGTTTGAAATGGACATTTTGTGACAAAGTTTAACTGTCAGTTCTTACAAATATAAAACTGAAGAACTCTTCTTTATGAACTATGAAACACATTTTTACTTGGCTAAAGATTTCTTATCTGTCTGCACCCTTGAGAATCAATGAAATCTTACTCTGGGTTAGGGTGGCTGAGTGTCCTCTGACTAGAAATCAAATGAGTCACATAGCTGCAAAGTCAACGATTTTAAACACATCTTACTCTCACAGTGTTTTGTTGGGAAGAACAAAACGGAGAGATTCCATGTTAAAATGTTACATAATTGTGAAAGCACCTAAGAAAACATAGCTCCCTCCCCTTAATTTAGAGGTAAATAGGGAGGAAAAAAGAAATAATTTTTTTATCTGGTTTAATTAATGCTGTATTAATATTTAAATTTGAGATATGATATTCAGGTTATTGTATTTACTTTTAATTTCTGACACATACTTCAAAAGAAAAATATTTTCCTAAAAAAATTCTACCTACATAATTCTTCTCCGTGAAATAATCATGGCTAACAGAAGAGATTCTCATAAGACAAAAAAAGTTGATTAAATGAAGTACTCTACAATAAATAATGAGCTACACCATTACTAAATACCTACTAAGTACTAGGAACTATGTTGGACACTTTCCATATATTATCTGTAATCTTAGCTTCATTATTGTTGGATAAGAATGTTAGACATTTCATGAGGCCGGCCTGCCTGATTTCTGGGGGTAATTTCTGCCCCTGTCTCTACCTCCCCTAAATGGCCGCAATCTGTACATGAGATTCTGCTCCTAACTCAGCTGATCAGAGCACAGGGATACGCACCTGACCTGATCACAGACTGGACTGCAACCTATGCCATATGTAGCCTAGCTAGACAAGATGCTAGGCTCATTTGCAGGAATTTGGAGTAAGACATGGAAGGACGTTACCATGACAGACACATAAAGAAAGACAGGACCGGGACAGCCATTATAGACTACAAGTTGAAGTATAAACCCAGATAGGAGGGAAAGAATTAAAAAACACCTAGAAAAAAAAAGATAAGTAATGACGTCACAGCATACAGCCTTTGAAAGTCAGACAGAAAAGCAGGCTAGATCCTGACAGCTTCACAGTGCCAGTTCCCAGCAGGCCTAGGTGAACAGTCATTCTTATTCTTGGAATCCTGTATCTGCACCACAGCTCCCTTTCACTTGAGATGGTTTGAATGGGTCTCTGTTCCTGGTAGCCTCAAGAACTCTGACTAGAAAAAAGGACATTTTATAGATAAAGAAATAGGTACAGAGTGCTTCTTAAGTAAATTTGCAAAGGTCACACAGCTAGGAAGTGAAGGAGTTGAGATTACACCTCAAATGTGACCCTAATGTCTATAGTTTCTCCACTATAACAGTATGATGCAACTATGCCCAGAAGTACTTCTTACAGAAGAGGAAAATAAATACTTATACTAGGAGTCTAGAGGGCACAACTGAAAAAGCCTTCAACACACACCCAATATTTCTTTAAAGTCTTTTTCCATTAGTTTATGTGAATAGTGCACACAATGGAATACTATGCAACATTCAATAACAAAGAATCTGCCAATCCCCTCACAACGTGGATGAACTCGGAGGACAATATGCTGAGTGAAATAAGTCAGTCGCAGGACAAATATTTTATTAGTTCATTATTATAAAAAGTCAAGGAAAGGTTTACACATGGAAGAAACTTTACTTTGTTGGTTACCAGAGATAAGAGAGGAGAGAAAATTGTTGACTGGTTAAGAGACATGTTGATCTGGGTGAAGGGAAAGATAATATAACAAAAGTGTATGACCAGCACAATAACAATAAGGAAAAGAAAGACAGAGAGAGGTGCACAACAAAGGTAAATACTATAACGTACATAATATCACACTATCAGTAGTAACAAAAACTAATCTATGGGAGGACACATAGGTAGATAGGCACGAAGATCAGACATGGGTATGTGTATGGTAATATAGCCATGACCTTACACAGGTTTGGCAGATGATATTTCTACATATATATTTGTATGTGCTATAAAAATGTCCATAAACATTACATAGTTAACAGGCAACAAAGTTAGGATAACGTCTTAGCCACAACTAAGCACCCTGAGGGAGTGAGTCACTGGGCCTGCAGGCTCAGAAACATGGTTGCGGGGGACATCAAACTCAATTGGCACAACATAGTACACAAAAACATTGTTCCACATACTACTCAGGTAAGTAGTGACTGTTGTGTTATAGTTGTTCTATGCCATCAAGTTGGACCCAACTCATAGCGACCCTGTCCTTGGGTTTCCGAGGCAGTATCACTACGGAGGTTGATTCTTAAAACTAGCAAGAGGCCATCTAAGGTGCAACTATTGGTCTCTCCGAGTCTGGAACATCGGAAGATTGGGCAATTTACTTCCATAGAGATACCGCCTTGGAAACCCAAGGAGGGGTCGCTATGAGTCGAGATCAATTTGACGGCAGTGAGTGAGTGAGTGTGTGAGTCTGGAACAAAAAAGAGTGAAGAAAATTAAAGGCATATGGAAACAAATGGTCCAAAGGACTAACCATGGGACCCTCACCTATATGAGCCTGAAACCAAAAGAACTAGACATTGCCCAGCTACCAATGCCAACCACTCAGAAAGGGATATCCTGGATAGAGTGGGCAAAAAAACATGGAATTAAATTCAAAACCATAAAAAAGACCACGATCACTGGATCGACAGAGACTGTGAAACTCCCAAAACTATAGTCCCGAGTCACCCTTCAGGCTGGTAATGAGACTCATTCTCGTTGCTTAGTATCTAGCCAACAGACAGGCCTACGAGTTGAACAACCACAATAGGGATATGCACTCCTTATAACAGTCAACCATGGGATATCAGAAGGAGCATTTTTGTACAGGAAGAAAACTAGGCAGGCAGGAATGTAGAGGTAAGAAGGTGTGGTAGTTAAGTTGTGTGCCAACATGGGCCTGATTTTGAGTGGCTAGGCAGCTGGATGTAGTTATTCCCCATGATGAGACTGGTAATCAACTCCATGGTAGAATCTACTGGAGTAGCTGAGTAGCTGCCTTAGGAATGTGGTTTGCTTCCAGTATACAAGAAGCAGCTTTGAGGAAGGGCTCTCGCTTTTGGCATACTTTAATCTTGCATGTAGCCAAATCATCATCCACTAGCCTGCCATGTTGTCTGCTGATCTTGGGACTATTACTGGACTTGAATTAGTGGCCTGCCGTGTGGCTTGGTAATTTTGGGACTGTCCCATTTTACTTGTCAACCTTGGGTTTGTCAGCCTCAGCAGTCAGCAGCTGCCTGAGTAAAGAGATGTCTCCAGCTCCAGGGGGCCAGGAGCAAGAGGCAGAGCTGAAGCCCAAGGTCAAGGGGCTTTCACCTAGTCCCTAGAGCTTGGCACTTTGAACTTGGACTTCTAGCCTCCTAAACTGTATATAAACAAAAAACTGAAAATAAATCCCTGTTTGTTAAAGTCACCCATTTGTGGTATTTTCTGTTAGAGTGGCACTAGATAACCAAAACAGAAGGATACAGGCAAGAGGTAACCACAGAGGTGGGAGGAAAATCATTACATTATGGGCATTGCAACCAGTGTCACAAAACAAAACACGTACAAACTGTTGAATGTAAAATGAATCTACTTTGTAAAATTGCACCCAAATTTCAATTAAAAAAATATACCTTTTTTTTTGATCTGTAGCCTATATGACTATGAGACCAGAAGAACTAGATGGTGCCCGGCTACCAATGTCATCCACTTGGAAGGGGATCTATGTAAGAGATCCTTGATAGAGAGGGAGAACAATGTGGAACAAAACTCAAAATCGTTTGGAGAAAAAAAAGGGGGGAGGGACAAGGTTTGCTGGTCTGATAGAGCCTGGTGGAACCACTGAGACTATGGCCCCTAGCTGCCCTTAAGGTCTGGAATTGAACCCATACCTGTGGTTTCCAGCCAAACAGAAGACAGGCATATGAGTTGAACATTTACCTGAGGCAGATACACTCCTTGGAGAGAACAATCATTGAGAAAGAAAGGCTGCCTATGCATAGGGAGACAGTTTAGGGGGCAGGAGTCCATGGAGGGATGGACACTGGGAAGAGGTAACCATGGGGAGGAAGTGGGAGGGGAGCTGTTGCATTGTGGTAAACTACGGTCAATGTCATGAGACAAAGTATATGTAAACTGCTGTATGGAAAGTGAATTTGCTCTGTAAATCTTCACACAAATCACAATTTTAAAAAAAAAGTAAAAAAATAATAAAAATCACAATAATAACTACTTCATAACCA